TACTCTATTTCCTCCATGAGGGAAAATTCAGTAAAAGCCAAAATCCTTCAGTGGCAGCCCTTTGCTCAGATCCACTGACTTAGACGGTATTCCACAGTATATGGTGTATGTATGTAGGATTTGGCATGGGGTGTAAAAGAGTAAAATCTTATATACATATAAAGCCTGGTTTGTAATTTAGAACTTTTTTCAGTCGTTGAAAACATTTTTGGATTTTGCCATTACCAGAATTAGTTAGAATTAGAAGGAGGACCTAAGGAGGTCATCTAGTTCAGCCCCCTGCTCACTGCAGGATCATCCCTGAGTAAACCATCCCAGTCAAGTTCCTACCTAACCTGCTTAGGAAAATTTTCAGGGATCTTCTCTAGGTAGCCTATTCCAATGTTTGACCACCCTCATAAGCACAAAGTTGTTTCTAATCTCCAACCTAGATTTTGTCTGCTTCAGTGTGAGGCTCCTAGTCCTATCCTCTGTAGCTACAAAGAAAAGTCTGTCTTTCTCTTTTCTTTGTAATCACCCTTCAGAAATTAAGTTTATGTGGATCTGTTTAATTTGAGACCCTATTATCAGTGATTTCTGCCCCCTCTACCCTGGAATCAACATTTTCTCATTACTACATGTCTTAAACAGGGAAGCTGCTTTTTCTTTCCTAGAATAGAAGCATGGAGACAATGCAGCAAGATGGCTGCAAGCTTCTTCCACAGACAGTAAGCAGAAAAGATGAATTCTGGTGTTAGTGTTTTCACAGCCCTTCTTAAATTGGCAACAGTTTTTGCTGAGCAGCTAAATAATATCATTGCCAATTTGAGTGTAGCCGTGAAAGAGTATACAGTATGTCTACTGGACTTCATGTGTCCTGCTTGCTGTCCCACAAGGAAGCTGGCAGTCATGTTTCAGCACTGCCTCTCCATGAAGAAGCCAGCTCAGGCCATAATTCTGAGAGATTGTTTTTTTAACATTCTGTCTTTCAAAAACAATGTGTACCCTCTTATTTGGGAGTGTGGTATACAAAAAAAATGGTATTCATATTAGGAGGGGTGAATGTACTTACTAGCCCATTCTTTCAAAAACATGTTAGGCTTGTTATTTCTGCTCTCCTCACCAGAACAAAAGTCTATCTGCTCCCCCAAAGACTTGTGATTTCATACTATTTCAAGTGCATTTATCATTTAGGCCCTGATCTTGCACATATTTTTGTGCTTAACTTTCTATCAGTGGATATAATGTTAAGTAAGTATGTGAGTTTTTATAGGATTTGGGGCATGAGTCCCTGTTTAAGACTAGTTTATTTTACAGAGGTGATGTTATTTATTTATTTATTTGTTTATTTGAGTTCTGTGTCCTTTGAAACTTATTTGCTATTCACATGCAGCAACTGTATCATTTTTACCATGTTATGTTTAATTTAAATAAAGAGGGCTGTGTCTCTTGGATATGCTTAGAAATCCTTTGATTTCATTTGTGAATTTCTAGCACTGCTGTATCAAAGTAGATAAAACTGGCGACTAACAAACCCAGGACTCTACTCTAGTATTTCTAAGCAGTCCCCTCAGTCATCTCCAAGATGGTGGCAGATGCCTTTCAGATTTTGAATACTTACAAAAGGTGTTCAAATACCTGTTCCAGAAAATTATAGAATATCTATAGCAGTTATTCATAACAAATCTACACAAAATGTATTTTGTGATATTAAGATTTCTTGAACTCTGAAAAAAATATCAAGTATTGTTCTCTGATAGATATTGACATTGATTATGGTAGTGATGCACTAATAATCTATGTAGTATAAGCATCCAGCAGTTAGAGTAGTTGGTATACATCATGAATTTGCAAACAAAAAATTGCAATATTCATTGTATCTTAAAATCAACCTGATTATAATTTATTGGTCTGTGTATTCATAAATAAAAATATTCTAAAAAATTATTGCAAGTCATAAAAAGTTAATGTTTGCCTAGAAATGTGTGGGGAAGAGACCAAAATAAATGTTTGCCAAAGAAATAATGATAAAATCAGCATAAAAACCTTGTTTCAGTTATTAGCATGAAGGTAATAATGGAAAATAGTATTTTTAAAAGTATTGGAAAAGGTCCATTTAAAGGCAGGGAAATGAAGTGGCACAATGTGATGAACAGCTGTGAAAACTCCGCTTGGAGCAATCCTTCTATGACAAAGATGTACATAATAATTTATTGTGTTTTATCACCAGCAGGCAAGTCCCACAGAAAACCTGAGGTTTAGCCCATCAGAGAAGCAGGCCTTCAATAAAGTGGTTACAATACTATTTGTATTGTACTCCCTTCCTCACCTGTTTTAACTATTCAACTGTACTTACAGCAGTTGTTCAGCAGAGGGAGCTTTTAGAATAAGCTGTTGACTGTCTTTGCCTCTAGGGCAGTGATTCTTAAACGAGATATCTTGGGGTACCTTTAAAAAATGCTGTGGGGTGCCACATAATGTTAGCACTGTTAAGTCTGTAAACATGATTTGCAAGATAAACCCAGAGATTTCAAAAAGATATCCATAGTTGTGTTTTTTCTGAGTTCTTTGCAACAGAAAAACTGTTGTTATTTTTCTGTAGGCAAAAAAAGATGAAAACCAAAGCTGCTTGCACATGTTTAAAAAAATTAAAAAGCTGCACTTTACCAGAAGCAGCAGTGTGTTACTTCAGCCTAGCTCTGCAGTGTTTGTAAAGATTGGGTGCTTCAGGAGGGTTTTCTGGTGCTTTTAGCTAAAGCTGATTTAATCATCTATTAGATAAAAGCGCCAAAAAAGCCCTACTAAAGCACCTGATCTTTACAGATGTTGGGCAAGCCAGGTTGAAGTAACACGCTGCCTCTTCTGAGGATGTGTGGCACTTGGCATTGGAATGTGCCAAGTTTAAATTAAAATGCTGGAATTTTTGGGGTTTTTTTTTTTTAAGGGTGCACCAATAAAGACTTTTTGGTTGATACCCGTGGCCAATTATTAACCAGACATGTTGGCCGATAACGATTTGCTTGCTGATATGCAGCTCGGCAGCTTGGAAATCAGCTTCTGGTGGGTAAATCTGTGGGAGAGAAGGGGTGTGTGGAGGGAGGCAGATCGAGGCCCCCCCCCCCGTGGTGAAGGGAGAGAATGAGGGGGGCTGGGCTGGGGATGCAGGTGGGGGTGGGGGTGGTGCTGGGAGGGGTGGCTACTGGGGGACTACGGTGAGTTTTGGGGTGGCTGTAGCCCACCCTGTAGCCCCTGCTCCCAGTGCTGCTGCAGCCTGCCTTGCCCCCACCTGACCAAGCAAAGTCCCAGTCCAGCCCCCCCACCAGGGAGAGACTGGCACAGCCTCTGGCTCTAATTCTGCAGTGGACAGCCCACCCTCACCCTGCACACAAATCCCATTCCTCCCCTGGGGGTGTGCGCAGTGGCTGGGAGCTTCCCCCCACACCGCACTGCATCCCCCGGACAAGCCGCCCATGACTCCATCCCACACCCTGCCCACCTGCCCTGCCCCGGCTGGGCAGCACCTGCTCCTGCTCCATTCCCTCTCTGTGTGGGGGCCTTGATCTGCACCCTCCCACGCCCATTCCCCCCACAGACTTATCAGCTGGATGCAAGCCGCTGGGCTGTATTCCTGGCTGTGTGAATGCGTGTGGCCAGCTGCATGCATGCACATGACATTTATTGGTGACATAATTGGCTACACTGGCCAAAAAAAGCTGATTGCTGATAATGTCAATTTTTCTTGTATCAGTACTGATCCAATATGGACCGATATATCGGTGCACCTGTATGTATTTTTTATGTCTGCAAGCACCCCAGTAGCTGGCATTTTCTAAGGGGGGCAGGGGAGGGGGCTTCTGGTCTATCCAGGGTGGCCTCAAGTCTAAAAAGGTTGAGAACCACTGCCGTAGGGACCAAGTATTTTGGCTTAGTAAACAATCTTAAGTCTTGGAAATGAGGAACTGCAGTCTAGCCCAACCCAGTGCACTTTTGGATACAGCTTTGTTCCTATTTCTGATTATGAGTGGGTGGTTTTTTATGGGGAGGGGAGGGTCAGTTTTTTAATTGCAGTCTTAATAACTCCTTCAGAGCGGGGGAGCCTTGGGTTCTTACCCTTGTTCCTAAATCTGTATATACATTTTATTCAATGGCTATTTAATATAAACACATCTAAATAGCTGTGGGAACGTAGAGCAGAACCCAGGAACCTCCTGCCCAGGGAAGTTCCCGTCTCACTAGAAGATCAAGTCGGGATTCCTCTGGCTTGCTCTCCTGGGTTCACTGATTCCTGTATTACTTTCCACCTAGTGGCCCAGATTTAATGAGAAACATGAGAGTGCCCTCAGTCCTGCCAGGCCCCTACCCTGGTGGTTAGGGCATTTTCCTGGTAAGTGGGAGATGTGGGTTTAAATCACTGCAAGGTGATTGGAGCTAAGAACCTACATGTCCCATAATTTTTATATTTTTTCTGAAATGAAGTATGGTTAATGCCAATGTTGGCGTGTGTGTGTGTGTGTGTAATATGTATTTGTTGGGGGAGAGGAGTGGGGGTGGAGCTAGGTTGATGTGTGTTCAAGCTAAAGCTCAAACTTGCACCTTAGGATTTTGTAACACAACGCTGTAATTGCTCTGTAGCCACATCCATTGAGCCTAATGTAGTTCTCTTCCTAAAATATCTGACTAATTAAGAAGCCACGTTACTTGAGTTCTTACCACCTTAGAAATGTTTAAATCAGACTACTGTATTATGTGATGATCTTGTACAAGCCACCATGGTGAGGGAATAAGTAACAAGCCCAGCTATTTTTTCTAGTATTAAGAAATCTTTTGTAGGGCTGATTCTGGAATATAGGTTTAATCAGTTTAATGATTAATGTTGTGTTTACCTTTAAGTGTTGAAGGTGAAAAAGATGAATTTGAAAGTTATTCCAGGAAACTGAATATGTTTTTTCCAGGTTTTAAATAACAGTAAACCCTTCCCTTCTAGGAAGGGAAAACTAATGCTGTGGTATTATTTTAATCAGCTCTTCAGGTGCTGGGAATGTAGCAGACCGTGTCTTGGCTCAGTTGTTAACGGAAATAGATGGGATAGAACAGCTAAAGGACGTGACAATTTTGGCAGCTACAAACCGACCGGATATGATAGACAAGGTAAGAATAAATGCACTGTGGTCTCTTGTGCAAACCAGCTTCTGGAATAATTTAATTCTATTTTAGTGTTTATTCTCTAAATAGTTCTCTAATCAATTTTTTTAGTTAAGGGAAGAAATTTCAAAACAAAGACAAAAGAGGAAAGGATTATGTCCATTTCCTTTTTAGTTACTTGAAGTTCAATAAAAACAAAAATGGTTTGCAATATCCTTAAGTATCAGTTTGCTGAAAAATTCTCTCTTAAATCAAATTCACTAAATTTGTGCAGTGACATGTCTGGTGAGCCACTTGTCAGTTTTTTTCTTACTGTGCTTGCTTTAGAAGGAGTGTAATAGAAAAAATATTTTTAAAATGATGTTTTCTGAATTTTCTTGGAAGTTTGTAAATATTTTATGACAATTTTAACCTTTTAAAAGTACTTATAGAAAGTTTTACCCCCTTTCTTTTTTGCAAGATTTATATGGAGGATACATAGAAACAGCACTGTCACCAGTTAGTTCATATATATGAAGCACTGAGAACAAAGCTCAGGACTTCAACTCCAGAAATACAGTTGCCTTCCATTTGAGCCATAGAAGACTCTCCATTGGTGTTTACTCTTATACTTTTCATGCAGCTAGAAAATAGTAGAACTGGTTGGGAATTTTTCATTAAAAACCAAACAATTAAATGAAAAATGTATTTTCTCCAAAAATAGGGTTTTCCACGAGAAATTTCAATCATTAATCTGTGTCTGCCTGAGCCGGTTCAGTGTGTCATGGTATTTGTAGTTCAGGTATCTGGTATGCCTCTATTCTCCTCTATTGGCCAGGCTTGCTGGCTGGCTTCTCATGACATACCAAAGTCTTCCTGTCTCATTTTCTGCAAAAATTTCTACTAATACAGTTTTCCGCCCCCATTTTGAACAGAAGCATATATTTTGAAATATGTTAGTATCTTCTGGCACAGACATTCTAGTTAACAGGAGCCAGCCATCAAACTCAACAGGCAGTTATTAACTTGTAGTAATGCAGCCAGTAAGGCTTTTGTTAGTAGCATACTGAGACTGGTGCTGCGTACACACATTCAAATAATTAGGGAGAATTTTCCTGGGTTTGTTCCTCTGGTAGTAAAAATTACCTAAATGAACGTTTGAATGCGAAGTCCTCGAAGAGAAGAGAGATTAAACTGCTGACGCTGTGCAGCTAGGCGGGGCCCCTGTGCACACATCTCAGCATGCTGTGCAGGCTCCCTCTGTCTGCTTGGCAACAGGTGGAGGCCCTGCTTGGAGTCAGCCTGTCTCTCCCTGGAGCACAATGTGGAGATTGTGAAGGGGACATGTTCTGCTCCCTTCTGGAGCAGCAGAATCCAGCAACAGATGTGCTATCTCTTTGTAGGGGGAGATATGTTAGAGGTCTGTGTTCCCTTCTGAGAAAAACCATGGTATATACAGAGTTTTGCTCAATTTGAGGTATGTTCTGTTCCCTGATTGGTTGGAGTAGTAGAGTGACAAACTGTTTCCTTGAGGGGGAGAAGGGGAGGGATCAAAGCACCCTGGAATGCTGCAAGATTGTTCTATGGATTCTTTCAGAAGGGTTACTTGTACAAACATTCACTCTCCCAGAAGAAACTCTTCTGGGAGTAATTTAACCCTGGTTATTCCTAGATTATTTTTCCCCTTGAGCAGCCATTTTTGCTTTGTGAGAAAAAGTCTGAACATTTGTATGAGAGGTTCATCGATATCGGCTATCAGCTTTTCAAACTTTATCGGCTATCAGCTTTTTTTGGCTAGTGTAGCTGATAATGTCACCAATAAATATAGTATGTCTTCTGGCTGTGGGGCCCCTGGACGCTGCGTACATGCACACGGCCAGGAATACAGCCAGGCAGTGTGGAGAGCATCATCCTGCAGGTAAGTCTGTGGAAGGGAAGAAGCAGGGGGGGGAGGGCAGATGAAGGCCCCTGTGGTGAGGGAGGGGCTGGGGTTGGGGGCACTGCCCAGCTAGGGCAGTGAATTGAGGTGGGAAGCAGGTCAAGAGCTGTAGACAGCTTGTCCAAGGGGTATGGGGAGCAGGGGCCTGCCTCCCTGCGCTTTGCACACCCCCAGGGGAGACCTGGGGGGCATGTGCCCCCCGCAATGGATTTGTACGTGGGGTGAGAATGGAGGCGTACTGCTCGCTGCAGGCTCGGGGCTCTCTGCTCTACTGCCTTTGTCCCGGGAGCTGTGCACTGGCTGGACATCCCCTGCCTTCCCAGCAGCGGTGGGGGTAGTGAGTTGTGCCTCCTGCTGCCAGGAGGGCAGGGGACGCACGGCCAGCATGTGGCTCCCAGGGCAAAGGCAGCAGAGCAGAGAGCCCTGAACCTGCAGTGAGCAGCCCACCTTTGCCCCACTCAGCTCAACTCCAGTTAAAAGCATCTCCACGCTTAAAAGTGGTGGTGGCAGCACTTTAGCTAATGCTCATTTGAAAAGCTTTAGTTCAAGTGCCCACACTGCCATTTTTAAGTGCTGGGATGCTGATTCCCTGGATGAGCCACCCGTAGCTCTGTCCCACTCTGTGTCCTGGTCCCGGGATCCTATTCACCACCCTGGCTGGGCAGAGCCCCCAGTCCCTGCCCTACCTCACTCTCTCTCTCACCATGGGGGCCTCAATCTGGTCCTCGTGCACGTCCCTTCCTCTCTACAGACTTATCTGCAGGGAGCTGCTCTCCATCCTGCCTGGCTGTGCTCCTGTAAAGCGGTTATTGGATTGGTATTGTACAATAGCTGATTATTCATCAGGCATATTGATATTGGCCAACAAAATCTTTATCGGTTCTCCCCTAATCTATACACTGAATATGGTACAGTGACTCTCCCAGGAGAAATTCAGTGTCTGTTTTTGGCCGCATAAATATATTCTCTGCCACTTGAACAACATCATTTTAAATTTAACCTGTTGGTTTTGTCTTAACATCCTTATCATACATGAATTTTACAGTGTCATTCTAGTTCAGCGAAAGACCTGTATGTACATCTACTTTTATAGGAACAGCTTGTTTTAGTTAATAGCTACTACAGAGTCACCAGAGGGAGGGGAATAATGGACTGCTGAATACATGAACCAGTGAAGAGAAAGGGGCATATTTAGAAATTAGCAAAGGCTTCAACTTTACTTGAATGTAGACAGGATGAAACCTGAGGTCAATAAGGCTGAAATGGAAGAAGGTAATTGAAGCCCTTTTACAAGCTCTGGCTTCTCTCCATGCAGGTCATATATTCAGTGTTCTTTCAGTTGAGTATGGAATTGAGGTGACAGGAATTTCACTCGTAGCCAGGGAAATAGAGCTGATATTTTAATTTAAATGTAATGGCTGCTGTTAACTTTATTTTTACTTTCTTTTACTCTAAGCTGTTTCGATGGTTTAGAACTTCAGAAAATTCTTAATTTGATTTTAAATCAGTAATTTGTGCATCTACTCCTAGACTATTGTTTGTACAGTGAAAAAGCTTCAGCACTCTTGGTTTTGCCAGTAGACAATAAAGGAAAGCAGACATATCAAGCGTAAGTTAAAACTCTCTGAAGATCTCATATAATTTAACATCCATGAGAAATTGAAGAGACAGATTTTCTTTTAGATGATTTTTAAGCATAAATTGTGCTTTTCTTTCTTTTATTGCTAATAGTCAACAAGGTGTACTAGCTGAGGCACTGGACTGGACAGAAAGATCAAGCTGAGGGATTAAAAAAAGAGATATATTTAAATTTCTTTAAGTGATTCTTATCTTATATTCAGTAACAAAAAACAAGAATGTAAAATAAAATTAAACTCTTTAAAAGGGCCTGTTTTATTGAAGCATAATAGAAAAGTTTTACCAATCCACAGTGGAGGAGGAGAGAGTTTGTGTTGTTTAGTGAGATTTGAGACTTGTGAGTCTGTGACTGATGCAATATTCCTGAAGGCCAGGTGGGCTCATTGTGCTTGATATTATACCCTAAGGCTTAGGGATACTTTTCCTGTTTCCTTTTTGGTATTTCTCCTCACTGGAAAGGAATGGGGGAAGGGTGAACACCAAAAGAATCTTATTGTTCTTGGCTAGATTCAGCTGTAAACTTGGACATCTCAAAGTGTATGGCTTTCTGGTTTACTTTGCGATTAATGATATCCATATATTCTTTTAAAAACTCTGATATGTACTGCATTAATGCAGCGTATTTAAATATGCATTGAAGCAGTCACATATTCAACTATGACTAGATTCATAGATCCTGGGGTTGAAAAGGATCGAGTCTGACCCCCTGCCAGTGGCAGGAAAAAAGTGCTGGGGTCATGTGACCCCAGCTAGGTATTTGTCCAGTCTTCTCTTGAAGACCTCCATGGTAGGGGAGAAGCACCACTTCCCTTGGAAGCCTGTTCCAGATTCTGGCAACCCTAGCGGTGAAGAAGTTCTTCCTGATGTCCAACCTAAACCTACTCTCCATCAGCTTGTGGCTGTTGTTTCTGGTTATTCCAAGGGGTAGTCTGGTAAGCATCTCCTATTCCGTGCTGCTCCCTCCACAGTGAATGTGTATACTGCCACAAGATCTCCCCTCAGTCTTTTCTTGTGGAGGCTGAAAAGGTCCAGGTCCCTCAGACTTTGCTCATAAGGCATACCCTGCAGGCTTCTACCCATGCAAGTGGCCCTTTTGAAGTGTGGCACCCAGAATTGGATGCAGTACTCCAGTTGCAGCCTTACCAGTGCCACATAGAGGGGGAGCATCACCTCCCTGAACCTGTTCGTGATACACCTACTAACGCATGACAAAGTGCGATTAGCTCTGCTAATTGCTTCGTCACATTGACAACTCATATTCACCTTGGCGTCAGCAACGACTCCAAGATCTCTTTCTGCGCTGTGCTGCTGAGGTCAGCCCCAGCCTATAGGTGTGCTGATGATTCCCTCTCGCTAGGTGTAGCACCTTCCACTTGTCCTTGTTGAACTGAATCCTATTGTTCTCTGCCCACTTCTCTAACCTGTCCAGGTCCACCTGGATTCAGTTTCT